GTGAAAGATCCAGAAACCATGACTTTTACTAGGAATGTTTGGAAAACTGAGAAGATTCAGTCCTAATAGAGAAAGTTGCAGAAGTTCTGTCAAGTGTTTGAAAACCTTGAAAGTCAAAGAGATGCTTTATTTTTTATTTTCAGAGGGAAGAACTAGATTCAATGTTAGTAGAGAAAAGGACTTTGAGCATAGCACACACCCATTGTCTTTCTAATTCAGGAGAGGCGTCTCATGAAGTGGTGATTCAGGAGCCTGGGGGAGTCCAGGATTGGTCATGTAGGCTTGAAGTATAATTTTCCTACTTTTTCTTGAAGCATGCTTTCTTTCTAGCAGCATATTTGGAAATAGGGAGAGGAGTAATAACTAAGGCATGGTTCCGGTGATTTTATATTCATGAAATATAGAAAATGGAACTTACTTTCTTATATACTTAAAGAAATACATTGTTAAAAGAGGAAAAAACAGATCAGTTGTCAGCATATAAGTGGGAAAACAACAGGAGTGTTGGTGCTTGTAGATGACAAATAAGTTGTAACTTTGGAGGAAGGAGAAAAGGAGCTCCCAAAAGTGAATGCAGTTCATGTCGGTGAACTTCTAAGGAAGTTTTCTGTGGCCTCCATCAAAAAAAAACAAAAACAACAACCAAAAAAAGCTTCCTAACCTTTTTTTTTTAATGAGAAAGCAGGATTTATTAAGAGGACAGAAAAGCTCCCACAGTGGGAGGGGACCTGAGGGGGTTACCCTCAAACTTTTAAATGTCTGTTGAAAACATGGCTCTTCTTAAAATCACTCTCACTCTAAACATGTTCCATTTCACAGAAATCATGAAATGGAAATTAAAATAGTCTTGCTGTTCCTGTTTATCTAAAGATAAAGCTTCTATTTTTTTCTGTTTGTTATTTTAAATTAAAATGTAGCGAGGCGCAGTGGCTCATGCCTATTATCCCAGCCCTTTGGGAGGCCTAGGTGGGAGAATTGCTAGAGCCCAAGAGTTTGAGACCAGCCTGTAGAGACATAGCAAGACCTCATATCTACAAAAAAAAAATTTTTTTTTTCCATTAATCAGTATTTTTTATTATGGTTTTGTGGGGTACAGTTAAGGGTTAGGTGTACAATTACGTTTCATTCAGGCAC